ATAGATCACAAAAAACTACTTACAAAATAAATCTCTTACGATGCTTTTTTACGGACAGAACATCCAAGTCTACAACGTAAAAAAGAGCACTAATTACATAAGATCTATTAACTTTGTGATAGTTAACAAACAAACAAACAAACAATAGAAAGGGCAAGAGATCCAAATTTGTGTTTCATACATAGAACAAATGTGAATTTCATCTTCTATCGAGATAACGAAGTGTGCATGAGAAAGCTATCATATAAAAGTAGCCACATACCTCCACACCTCACCTCCCAGTAATTCAGATAATTATGTATTAGTTATATATTCAACCTGTGACAATATTGTTTCTTGCTTGAAAACATTTTTATTACATTTTTAACAGTGAAATACTGTGATTTATTTATTGAATAAAAGTGATATTCTCTCACAGTGTGAAAGGATACCAAAGTGATATTCTCTCACAGTGTGATGGATACCAAAGTAAATAAAAAAATTCTGGCCTGTAATAAAATAGAGACAGTAACTAAACCATATTGATAGAGAATAAAACTGCCAATTTCTTCCCAAATTTGTTGCTAAAATGTTTCAATCTCTCAACTGCGCACGATGGTGGTGTCAGAAAGTCAAAATTTCCATTGCGACAGCATTTGCGCTATTTTTATAAGCAGTTGAGAGATTGAAACATTAATAGACCCGGTTTCAAAAGTGTGGGGGGGGGGGGGGGAGGCTTCCCAAAAAATCTGACAAGCACGAAAAAAACCCTATACTTACCCAAAAAAGTGAGGGGGGCAACTGGTATAAAACACGCTTAAGGAATTCGAAATGAGCTGGTCGATTAATATTGTTAATTCTTTCATTCTTGAAATTGAAATGCAGAAATTTTATAAAATTAATAAAATATTTTTGAAAATCTTAAAGTAACCTATTCTAAATTTACAATGAGATAAATTTCTGAGTTTTCTTTTATAAGCTTCTAATATGAAATGAGCTGAAAAATATGTTCAAAGTATTATCCTTCATAACTTACAGGTTTGGTTTAAAGATTCAAATCTGAATCTTGATGGAAAGTATGTACAAAACGGTCTCCGAAACACTCTTTGCTAAAATTTATGAGCATAACCAAAAAAAAGTATGCAAACGCATAAAACAAGTGAACTGTATCCCAAAGGAGTACGAACCTGATCCGTGAGGCACGTTGCAACGCATATAAAAAAGGGGGGGTAGGAAAAAAATAATTTTTTTTTTAAATAAATACAAAACCTCCAAAACTCCCCCACATCGAAAAATCTTTTTCATTGAGAAAGTTGGGGGGGGGGGGGTCGATCGGTTTTGTTTCCTCTCCTTTTTGAAATGAATTATTTGAAATAGTTAGATCTACTGTAACAAAAAGAAGTACTCAGTATGTAAGTGTCTATGCGAGGGCGGGGGTTAAAGGTGAGTTAGGGATAGGGGCTTTGAATGAAAAAAAATTAATTCAATGCTAAATCAGCAGCATATCTACACTATACTGAAAGCAGAGGGCTGGTACTAGGGCCTGCTGATATGACATGGAATTGTTTTGAATGTATCTCGATGAAATAAAAAGCAGATAAATTTAAATATGATGTCAAATGAATTTTGTAATTTCTTCCGAGCTTTTCATTAAATGAAGCAAATTATGCACATATTTCCCTCCCGCAATAAGCATGCAAAATATCAGAGAATTTAATTATTTTCAATGAACTGCATTGTATATTTGACAACATAATAGGTTTTATAGTTTTTCTTTCATAGAAAATGTATGTCAAAAAAGTAATGTCAAATTAATTTGCTAACGTCACGTAATCTAACGTCATTTTGACGTTACCGAAATTGACACCAACATCGTGCGCGACGTCTAAGCTATGACGTCTCAACTGCTCAACTATGACATCACAGCCTATGACGCTGTGTTAAGAAAAGACAGAGGCAAAGGGAAAATGAAAGAAAATTTAATAAACAGAAAATATAATGTTTTGTAGTTGGATATAGAATTTAGTTCACTCATGAGACGGGATTTGTTTTATTTTTTCACGAGTGCAAAGCACCACTTGTGAAATTAATTCCATATCCAACTACAAAACATTGAATGTCCTCTATATATATATTCTGCAAAACGATTTACTATTTCACTATTTTCATTTACCGTGGGCCACATTATTTAAATCTTATTTGATAAAGTGGAGAAATATTTATTTTTATTTTGAATGTATTCTACGAGTTCTTTTCTGTGTGATTCATATATAGAACAAATGTGAATTTTATCTTCTATCGAGTTTGAGGTGCAATTTCTACATTTTCGATCTTCGACAGGAATATTTCTATATCTGTTTAGTTCAGTTGCTAATTTATGAGAACTTACACGATTTGTGAAACATCAGAGTGCATCTTGTCTTTGTGTAATTGAAAAATATTCCTCTCTACATAGTCTTGTTTTAAATAAAGCAAATGTTCATAATTACCTTTATGATTTTTAGCACATTCTAACAAATTTTTTTTCTCCACAAATCTTTATATTTTTTCAGCTTATCATAAACTTCTGATTGTAGGTATTTAGAAAATATATTATCACATGATATTCTTGTTTTTTTTTTCAGTAAGAAATAAACATTGCTCAACCAATAATAGTAATAACTACTGAGATGAGATCTCATTGCGAGCAACGAGTAGGTCTTCCGTTAGATTTCTGATAAGATCTTGATTTGGAAATTTTGATTAATACAAGAAAGTAAAACAACTTCAAATAAGAAAAATATTCATATCAATTCTTCAAATTATGCTTAGCAACACTTGAAAGAGTGAAATCTATGAATTTCAAACAACTTCCGGTCTTTTATATTCACTTCCGGTATGACCGGAAGTACTCAAAATGACTTTTAACTCCTCACTGAGTGTGGAAGAGTCATCCCTCAAAGTTTCGAGGAAAAATGAGCATTTTCTCGTCTACTTCCGTTTGGAAGAAATAACTTCCGGTGGAAACAATATGACTTGAAACAGCCTATTTGTCTCTATTATCTCTATTATAAACATTTAAAAAAAAAAAATAAAAATTTGCATTTTTTTAAACTACATCCGGTGGACAACGGACGTCACCGCAACAAAAACTAAACAAGAAATTCAAATCTTTGAGTCACAATCTATCATCCCTGAAAGTTTCAAGACTCAATCTCAAAGCGTTTTTGAGAACACTGGCGGACAAAATGCAACTTTAAAAAAAGAAAATTGGCCGTATCTCGCGACCGGAAGTGATGACGGCAAAATAAAAAAAAACGCCCTAAATTCAGACGATTTGCCATCATTGCTGAAAGTTTCATGAAAATCTATTTAGGCGATCTCGAGAAATCGCCTGCACGAAATCGGTAAGAAAAAAATAATAATAGTGGAAAAGAAACAACAGAATCAGTAGAAGGTCTTCCGTTGGAAACGGAAGAACTTAATAATAAATCAAAAATAAATAAATAAATAAATAAAAATAAAATTAAAAAAAAAACTTTGTGAATGTTTCACGCTATATATACAAGTGAATAATATGGGCCATAACGCTCACCTGAGTCACATTGGTTCTATTGTCCTTCGAAAAAAATAGTTTTTTTCTTTTTCGTCAGAGAATTGTCTTAAGAAAGTTCCTAAGAATAATTTTCGGAAAATTTTAGGATGATCCTAAGACAAACTTAGGCATGTAAATCAAAGCTGACTTAAGGTCGTCCTAAATTTAGATGTCTTAAGTGAGTGTGAAATGGTCGTACATAAATCTAAAAATTGACATCCAGGAAAATTAAAAGTTTATTTCACTGAATAAAACCCTAAAACACTATGTACAATGTATCTAGATAATATTTTTTATTAAATTGATACCCTATTTTTGATCCATAATTTATTTATGTTAACGATAGTAAATATTTTAATACTTTGATTCACTTTGAATCTTTATATAATTTTTTTAGGAAGGGAGGGGGGGGGGGTTTGACCCTTAAAAACTCTTAAATATTATTGATGTAAATCATAGTAATAATAAGTGAATATATAAGGTAATATTTCCTATTAATATAAAAAATGCATATAAAAATTAAGGAAAATGAAAATTAATATAACAATTTGAAATTCATAGTAAAAAGTACTTTGAGAGTAAACTACAGTTAACTATATTTTTTGTCAGAGTAAATCTGTTAGAATAACATTTACTCTCTTGAATCATGAAAAGAGCTCGAGGTTTGTCCGTGGATGTTAAACAATTGTACTCTACCATATACAGCCAGACTCGTTCGTTTTATTCGTGTTTGTATTATGAATCCAAAAGAGAAAAAAATCTTCTGAGTCGGAAAATCATATCCTCTTCGATAAAGTACAGAAAGGTATCATATAGATTTGAGCAAACTTGCGTCTGCTTGCATTTTAATATGGCTAATAATTATGGCACTAATGTTCTTAAGAAAAAGATTTTTCTGCTATATTCCCAACTTTGAACCTTGTTTGTGGCCCCACCCTACAGAAAAGAGACATAATTTGAACTTTTAGACAGTATCCACTACCCGAGGATGTTTGCTTATCTTAAAATATGAGTAATTATGACACTGCTGTTCTTAAGAAAAAGATTTTAATAGAATTTTATTATATATTCCCATGTAAAACATTGATTTCCTATTAAAGACACACTTACCCCTACGGGTCATGATTTAACAAATTTGAATCTGCACTACATGAGGACTCGTGCATATTGATTGACTAATCATGGCACTGTTGTTCTTGAAAAGAAGATTTTAAAAGATTTCCCCCCTATATATTCCTATGTAAAACATTGATCCCTGATCACGAAACCACCTTACCTCACTGGAGGTCATGATTTGAATTAACTTGAATATACACATACTGCCAGGAAGCTTTCTCATAAGTTTTATCTTTTCTTGTCCAGAGTTCTTGAGAAGAAAAAAAAATTAAGACACCCATCTAAGTAACACCTTTTTCAATTTTATCTCCTTTAAAGAGGACCAGGCTCTTCATTTGAACAAATCTGAATCTCCTTTACACAATAAGGATGCTTTGGGATCAGTGGTTGAACTTGGTCCAGTGGTTCTGGAGAAGTCTAAAATTTGAACAGCAGTAAATTTTGAGAAAGCAATCAGGTGTAACGAATCTGAAGGGTGGTTTATACCCCAGTGCTTGGCTGCGTTCAAGATCGTATCGGCTTACCTAGCAGCTTGGTGGTAGACATCTATGTTTATTGAACGGATAGCTAGCCTATACGCTAGGTGTTTTATAGATTTAGAAAATTTAGATGAACGAAGAGCTAGCCCAGCCGCTAAGTGTTTCATAGATTTAGAAAATTTAGATGAACGGACAGCTAGCCCAGTCGCTAAGTGTTTTATAGATTTAGAAAATTTAGATGAACGAAGAGCTAGCCCAGCCGCTAAGCGTTTTATAGATTTGGAAAATTAAGATGAGCGGACAGCTAGCCCAGCCGCTAAGTGTTTTATAAATTTAGAAAATTTAGATGAAGAAAAAGAAGAATGAGAAGTTACATACAGGCAAAAACAAAATGTTAAAAACAAAATATCTCCCTTTTGAAAGGGGACATAAAACACTAATTTCCATGTATCTATCAGTAATACCTTTTATACATTTTATCGTAAAATATGGATCTGTTTTTAATATTGCCGTTGATCCTTTCAATCCAATTACAACCAACATTGCGCCATTACTATCTTGTGGAAAGGGAACTTTTTCTTCTTGAACCATTGACACAAATGTCCCCGTCCTGTTTTTAATGCCTACGAGAAAAAAAAAATAATGAAGGTAAGTGAAATTACTCGCAAACACAAATTGTGTTCGAAGTACTAGTACTTGTTAGAAAAGGACAAATGAAACTACTACACTGTCTCTATTTCCTCGTTTGTTACAGTACTACTAAGTATGAGTATTTTGCCATTAAGTTATGAACATGATTTTTTTAACAGAAGTTCAAAAGCAAAATGTACATATATTGTATCATTATCAAAAGAATTCCACAGACGAGTTCCACATTAACAGTATAATATATTTTTTTTATTTCCATACCAATAACCCAAGAATTAAGAGTTCTTTCGAAGAACAATAGGGAACCGATTCCTAAGGATTTGTATTGCGCTTCATATCCAGTTCCATTTCCATTTTTTCGAAAATAAATAGATTGAGGCGTCTTCTTTGGTTTACTGTATGACACTCTTATCCACCTGCAGGAACCTGAATAGAATTTAAAGGTAATATTGTAATGCAATTTATAAATTTTAAAAGAGAAATTATGTGGCTGTCATTATTTTATATATAAATTGCAAAATATTACCCAATACCAAAAGTGGACCGGTCAAAAACATAAGAATTTTATGTCTTTGATATACATGTTCCTTATATTTTACAATGAAACGATATACACGTATGAGTATATTTGAATGCTACATCTACCTATAAAAAACCCGCCATGGTATGTACCGAAAAATGCTGTTCAATTTAGCATGGAAATAGGGATTTATTCTTGGAAAGAATTCGAATTGAACACAGACGGTTCATAAAGAAGAGAAATGATAGTACAAGTGTTCTAGAGAGAGTAAATTATACAGACAAACTGCCAAAAGTTTTCCTAAATACGTTGTTGGAATCGTTTTTCAATCTCACAATCTCGACGTTATAGTGCTTCAACTGCTCATAGATCTGTGAAGTCACAGTCTATGACACTGTGTTACGAAAAGACAAACAACGGGAAAATCAAAGAAAATATAATAATCCGAATTCACTCATTTTGTAGTTGAATATGGAAATGCATTTTTTCTTTTATATTTTCACTCGTGCTTGGCACTCCTATATATATATATATATATATATATATATATATATATATATATATATATATATATATATATATATATATATATATATATATATATATATATATAGTGAAATTGTAGTAAAAGTCCACGGTATAGGTAGGTTATAAATTAAAATTAAATCCAAGATAAACAAACAAGTTCACATTTAATTATTACACTTAAGCAGCTTAGTGTAATAATTAAATGTGAACTTGTTTGTTTATCTTGGATTTAATTTTATTATTATTATTATTATTATTATTATTATTATTATATATATATATATATATATATATATATATATATATATATATATATATATATATATATATATATATATATATATATATATATATATATATATATATATATATATATATATATATATTCTAAATATTTTTCCTTAAGATTCTTTACAAATTAGAAAAAGTTCATGTTCTCTTGAACTACCGTGGGATGAGTAAGAATATTTCCATAGTGATGTGACTGAAGTAATAAAATAGTGCCTTTTTTTCCAAAAATGATCGTTGAATGACAAAAATATGTGGCATCAGAAAAATAATGTAAATATAAGATATGAATTTAATTTTTAAGAATTCATGAGGTACATGAACTACAACGTTTCATGCCTGCATATTTATCATGAAGACCTAACGCGCTTCATTAAATATGCCAATATGCCCCGGCGTGAAGCGTCGTAGTTCATGTCCTCATGAATTCTCAAAAATTAAATTCATCTCTTATACATACATATAAAATATTTATTTATTTATGTATTTATAAATCCTGCCCCACAAGGTATTCAACCCGAACACAATTTAATGGAATCTGAGGCTATTACGAGTGGAATATATGGAACACCATAGCTGTTTTAAGGGTACAAAATATGCATCATAGTGTCAATTTTACATAATATGAAGTCTATTCTTTTAATCATTAAGTTCACTTTATATATTATGTAGCACAAAAGCTTTGATATGCTGTCAAATTCAAATATTACGAAGTCGGATGTCTAGAACATTTATATCATGAAGTCCACCTTATATATTATATAGTCTATCCTTTATATCATTAAAACCGCTTTCTATATTATGTCTATGGAACACAATATGCTGTCATAAGGGCACAAAATATGCATCGTATTGTCAATTTTACGTAACATTAAGTATATCCTTTATATTATTAAGTCCACTATGTAGCCTATTCTCTATATCATTAAGTCCACTTTATATAATATGTAGCCTATATTCTCTATATCATTAAGTCCACTATATATAATATGTAGCCTATATTCTCTATATCATTAAGTCCACTATATATAATATGTATCCTTTTCTCTATATCATTAAGTCCACTTTATATAATATGTAACCTATATTCTCTATATCATTAAGTCCACTATATATAATATGAAGTCTATTCTTTATATCATTAAGTCCACTTTATATAATATGTATCCTATTCTCTATATCATTAAGTCCACTTTATATAATATGTAGCCTATATTCTCTATATCATTAAGTCCACTATATATAATATGAAGTCTATTCTTCAGTTTTTGGAGGAGTCTTTAAAACCAGATCCTGTTATCGTTAGGAGACAAACGAAGTGACAGAAATAATAAGCAATCGTGTCTCTTCCAAAAGTGTGAATTAATGCCTCTTGTTCATGGGATATTGTGTTATGTTGGGGCTTTATTGGCTATACTAGTATAGTGAAATTGCTTCAATTCTTTGAAAATTTTCTTCTCTGTTCCTGGATATTAGGCAGACAAACAAGTACCTGGTTATGAAAAGGAATAAGGAAGGGTCACTTTTCCAGAATTTTGAAATCGGACGTATGGATCGAGTGTTCTGATCTGAGCAAAGTTGATCTTGTAAGGAGACGTTAGTTTCTTTTGTTATTCACTTATGATAATTAATTCCTGTAAATATTGTAACTGAAAGATCAATTTAAATAAAAAAAATTATAAAAGAATTTTAAAGGATGCATTCGTTATAACAAAAGATTTGACCTATAGAGAGAACAATTTTCCGGAAAAAGTCACATTAAAAAATCAATGTTCTTTAGTTGTTTTCTATCGTATATTTGTCTAAATTTTTCAAATTTGCATTTTGAACTTAAAATTTTTTATTTGCAACTTTGAAATTAACCTCAAAAGTTGGTTAAAACAGTATTTTGTCCGTTAAAGCACAGATTTTTGTGTGATTGTAGCATAGAAGTCCTTCAGGGCAGGCTTGCCCCTAAATCAAATTATGAAATTTTGATAGATTTTAATCTGAAGAATGATTTAAAACAAGATTTTTTAGGGGCACCCCTGCCCTAGGGTCAAAATTCGTAAAAATCCTACAAAAAATGCGAAAACCTATTTCTATCATACTGGATTATATTTATGACCTATGTATTCATAGTCAGTATAGCTCAAAGAGATAGACCGCAGACTAAAATAAAAGATAAAAAAAGACCGCAGACTATCACCATGGACATTAAGTGTCCTGCTTCGAATCCACCTGTTGGCACACTTTTATTTTTTTCAAATTTTCACCTGTATAAACATGAATTTAATTTTTTTAATACCGGCTTTTGCATATTACTTCTTTTTTCTTCCTTAAATGTAAAAGCATATCTTCATTTTTTTTTGTTTATCTTGATTTATTTTACACTTCTATAGATGCTTCAAATTGTTGAATTATACTCAAGCGACCGTTTAGGTCCTTTGACCTCTCGTCTTTGTAATATGCATAAAGCATGACTGAAGTAGAAGATCTATATGAATATCACTTCAGGATCTCAGATTGGGCCTTTAGGAAGTGTAGCTTTAGGTTACAGACATATTTCATAATGTCCTTAACCCTTGTTCATGTGGCTAATGATGGATGAAAAATGCATGCTGGAAAAATGTCCTCCACTCTTGGCACCAATTGGTGGTACCACTGCAGCCCCATTCTGATAGCGGGAAATGATAGCACAAGGGACCATCTACCTTGATCCAGTAATAATTAGAAACACACTTCAAAGATAATGGGTATAATAGCTGCTTGAAATATGTACCCTGCCCTTGGCACCACTTGGTGGTACCACTACAGCCTAATACTGCAGTATATAATAGCCGTTTGGCCCCTTTACTTTGTACCACTAATTCTACGATACACACTTCAACGAGAAGCTGGGTAATAGCTTACCTTCAAACCCTGTATCAGTCTTCAATACTAAGAGTAAGCAATTTTCAGGTTAGCTAATTGGTCCTGTTCCTGAGACCCATCACAGAGCTAGCTTAAAAGGGATTCTCCTTGAAGTACTTAACCTATTTACAACTGTTTGTTGTTCTTAAGTGATCAAAGATGATGAAAATTCTTTTTTTATTTTTTCTGTTTTAAAACCATATGATTTTCCTAATGCAGGTGATCTTAACTGCCTTCGAGTATTTGTCTTATTAAATAATTAAGTGTTGCATTAATTGTCTAAGTATTAATTATTAATTATCTAAATTAAGTATAGAACAATATTGCGTCAGAGTACTCTAAGTTCTTTGATGAATTTCCTTCTTGGCAACTAGCTTCTACGGGGTTAGTGGCTGCTGTCATTTGCTGCTAGCTTCAGCATAGAATTTTTGACTGCATGCAAATGCATCTGACTTTGTAGTACATTGATTTTTCAGTATAGTAAAGCTTATGTACTACATAAAATATAAAGTGGACGTGATGGTATAAAGAATAGAATACAAAATATATAAAGTGGACTTAATGATATAAAGAATACACTTCATAATATATAAAGTGGACTTAATTGTGTAAAGAATAGACTTCATAATATATAAAGTGGACTTAATGATATAAAGAATAGACTATGAATATATAAAGTGGACTTAATGATATAAAGAATAGACTACGTAATATATAAAGTGGACTTAATGATATAAAGGATAGACTAAATGTTATGTAAAATTGACACTGTGATACATATTTTGTACCCTTAAGACAGCTGTGGCGTTCCTTAGGAATACCTGAAATACTTAGCATCTTATTTATTACCTACATGATCTACAAAAAGATGGTCGTGTGATGCAGGGCATTAAACATACCGCAAGATTTCACTTTTCTTTTTATGGAAATACGTCCTTGACACATGGCAAGGGCAAAATGACATTTTGACTGATATTGCACACCATGGTCATCACACACCATGCCGTTCTCGCCGTCACAGTGCGATTGTTTGAGGTCGCCGCTTGCGCACACACAATCTACTCCGTCATACACCTCCCATTTGTCGCAACTTTCACCTGTTGTATCTACAACAAAAGTACAGCGATAGACCATGGAACATCGTATACCAGAATTTGCAAGATTCGCTAAAAAATATATCTCAATTATTTTTGCTGGTGAGTAAAAAGTCTCTTTTTTGGTCACCTGAGTCACTCAGGTGACCTATTGCTGTCTGATTTTGTCCGTTGTCGTGCGTCGTCGGTCGTGCGTTTACTTTTGAACATTTTCAACTTCTTCTCTAGAACCGCTAAACCAATTTCAACCAATTTTGGCATATATCATCTTTGGGTAAAGGGGAACAAAATTGCGAATTTTATGTTCCCTGCCTTCCTGGGTCCCCAGGGATGGGGCTAAAACCACCTCAGTTGATGCAGGCTTTAAAAATCTTCTTTACTCCTGGACATCAAGCAGTCAAACTATTGGTATGATTGTAATAAGCATTGGACCCTCTACCAAAATTATGAAATTCATAGCCTCAGGGTCAAGGGTTCTGGTGCTAGGGTTGGGCTATGAAGATCATGTAGTAAAAGTGTATTATTTATTTGAAAATCTCTCCTCCTGGTAATATTTAAACAAACTAAGTGCATGGTTATAAAAAGCAATGATGCCTTTTTCAAAATTATGAATTTCATGACCCCTTGGTCAAGGGTTCTGGTGTTAGGGCTGGGCTCTATTGATTATATAGTGAAGATGCATTAATTCTTTGAAATCTTCTTCTCTGCTCCTGGGTATTATTTAAACAAACTAAGTGCATGGTTATGATGCACAAGGGTGCTTTTTCCTAAATTGTGAAATTCATGGCCACGGGGTTTGGGAGGGGGGCTCTATTGATTATAGTGAAAAAGCACAATTTCTTTGAAAATATTCTTTTCTGCTCCTGGTTATAAAGCAAAGAAACTTAAGTGTATGGTTGTGATGAACAAGAGTGCTTTTTCCAGAATTTTGAGTTTCATGGCCCCTAAGTCAGATGTTCTGGTGTAAGGGTGGGGCTGTATTGATCATATAGTAAAGATGCATTAATTTTATTAAATAATCCTGTCTGTTCCTTAGTGTTGAGCAGATAAACAAAGTGCATAGTTATGATGAACAATTGTGCTTCTTACAAAATTTTTAAAACTTGTGGTTCCCAGGATTTGGTGTTTCTCGGGGCTTGGGGGGGGGGTCTACATTGATAATGTGTTAATTCTTTGAAAATCTTAAACTAAATGTATAGTTATGATGATGAGGGTACCTCTACCAAATTTGTGAATTTCATGACCCTAGGACATGGGTTTTAGTGTTAGGGTGGGGCTGTGTTGAATCTATAGTGAAAATACATTATTTCTTTAAAAATCTTCTCTGCTCCTTGGCATATTGAAGTTTTAATAAGCAAGGATATTTTTACCAGATTTTTGAATCTCAGGACAATTTGGTCAAGTGTTCTGATCCTAACCAGGGTTCCATTAATTTGTAATCAACTGAGAGAAGTTATTCCCCTTTGCAAATCACTTTTGATAATTAATCACTGTAAATAATGTATTTGAAAGTTATTGGAATAAGAGAATTATGCAGAAAATTTTATTGCTTAATACAAAAAAGTACTTTCATAGTTTTAATGACCAGGTAGACTTGTAAATAATAAATAAACAAAAATGAGACAAAAATAAATTATTGAGTTTTCTTCAAAGACCAAGAGAGGTCAACGTGAGAGGTCACAATATGGGGTTAAAAGTAGTACAGAAGAACTAATAGTTTGTTAATAGTCTGGTGATAGTGCTAAATGGAGGATGGATTAGAATTTAATGTTTGAGTTGTTACTGAATACTAGACTAATTATTTTATTGATCCTGATCATCCTATTTCTCTTGCTTTTGGGCAACAAAGCTTCAACTATCAGTTATTTTATACTTTATGGATCCTCTAAATTGTTGTGTTATACTCAGGTGACCGTTAAGGCCCTTGGACCTCTTGTTTTAAATCACCGATTCTAATTACTCAACCTTCGTCCTTTTTTGACTAAAATATCATAATATAATGACAGTTGCTAAATTGTTTTAAAAATACGAGAAAGGTACGAGAAAAAAAAGAGGTTTATGAGTAGTAAGCTCAGAAAATGCCCACAAAGTCAGTGTTTGCTATTGGTAACCCAAAATATATGCCCGATCGGAACTTAAAATTGAAGGCGCACGATGGATCTATTAATAAAGATTTTGTAAAAGTCCTATCAAATTGTATTCAGTCGTAAAGAAGAGAGATGAATATCCCAAATATTATGAGCATATCTATCCCGATATGAATTATTACTTCCGTAATTTCCGCTGCGCATGCAATCACTCACCCGCACACACACACCCTCACGCTTTACTATATCCTCTCCAACTTCGTTGCGAGGGGATAAAAGGGGTTTTTTGCGAGCTAAATACATTATACAAGTTTCTGTATTTTCCCTGGAGAATACTTTTATAATTCAAAGTAAATATAGAGTTAGAACTGCGGTTTGAAATATTGAACATGTAAAGTTTCGATATGTTCATGTCATGAGGCAATTGGAAACACTGCTAGTTTGATTAATTAATCAGTCTAATAAATGTATTTGAATTGTGATCATTATGAACGATTTCTGAGATATGATTGAATGCAGCTATTATTGTTTACCTATAAATTTTGTCAGCCATGTTGCTGTGAATAAAAACGAAAGTAGTCTGTCATAGAAACGCAAAAATCGCTATTTTCAATGCTTGTGTTTGTCGGATGCTCTGTAAATGTTGATTTTTAATTTTTTTTTTTTTATTGATTACACACAATAATGAGACAGAAACAAATTCTTTATATGACTAGAGTATCTATTAGTTTTTTGTGGTTTAATTTAAGCAATATGGCATGAAAAACATATGATTGACCCGGAACTGAAACGACCTGTAACTGGCGACTTCACTCTACGTAGTTTTTTTTTAGTTTTACATCTCTTGAGGTTATTGAGATGCCGGTGGAGGGCTGCACATTAAGACCTGGCCCCGGGACTATAAAACTTAGACGATCTACCTATTGATCTCAGTCTCACTTTTACAAAAGGTATGCAGTGAAAAAATGAGACTGAGATCAAAAGTGAGCTCATCTAAGTTTTATGGCCCCTGGGCCTGAACTCGGCACTTAATGTTTAAGGGCAATGAGAGATCTTTTTCGTGCCGCATCTACTGCGACATGGGATCTAGGTTTATAGGTCTCATTTGAAGGACTGGTCTCCATGTCCCGAAGTTGGATTCGAACCCACCACGTAAGGATCAACTCCTTATTCCGCGACTCTAGAACAAACGCTCTAACCATTGCACCACGCGGGCGACGCTACACGTAGCTATGGTTTCCTATCGTTGAGAAGTTAATGTTTGCGTAATTGAATAAATTCTGTTATACCTGGCCAAACATGCCATATCAACTCTAAAACTTGTTTAAAATTTTCTTATTACCGCCTTCCTTGTTACCGTCTTCCTTGGAAGACGGTATACAGAGTTGAAGTATTTTACAGTCTTCGGACTATGAACTTCCTCTCTTCTTTGATTGGTAGAAAATACATGATGTGAAAATGTTCAATTATTTCATTGGTCGAAATGCTGTACTTGCAAGGGATTTAATTTTTCTGGTGATCTAATTTCGTACGACTGAACAATTTTTCAAGAATTTCAATTTTTTAAAAAATCGACAAAACGAACAAAAGAAAATTGCAGTAAATAAAACTGACACGTTATTAGTCCCCTACCGGTGAAACCGGAGGGGACTATAGGTTTCCTCTGAGTCTGTCCGTCCGTCTGTCTGTCCGTCTGTCTGTCTGTCTGTCCTCTGTCTGTCTGTCAGTCTGTCCCACTTGGTTTTCCGCACTTTTTTCTTAAACGCTTGCAGATATTGAGCTGATTTTTGGTATGTGAGTGTATCTTGATGAGTTACAGATCAAGTTTGCATTTCGTTCCGCTTCATTGATTTTTGACGGAATTGCGGCCTTTTCAATTTTTAAGGGTTTTCCGCAATTTTCTTCTAAACGCTTGTAGATATTGAGCTGATTTTTTGGTATGTGGCTTTACCTTGATTAGTTATAGATCAAGTTTGCATTTCGTCCCGCTTCATTAATTTCTGACGGAATTATGGCATTTTCAATTCTTAACGGGAACCAGATTACACTTGCCGGTAGGGGACTAGTATTGCTAATGCAATACTCTCAGAATGCTTGTTTTTTTTTTTTTTAATAGGAACTATAATTTTTTTTAAAATTTTTATGATTATAACAGAAAGTTCTTTTTCTGCAGGCAAACATTGAAATATGTGTTTATTCTTCCGTCATTTCCGTCAGCTAATGTCTGTGAAAAAAAGGTGTCAAAGAAGTACAAAGCCAAGAACTACAGTACTCAAAAATAATACGGCCAGATAGGTGCATGTCAGTTTACAGTTTTACTTTAAGGTTGTTGCTTAAGGCGGCAAAGCTTTTTGAAAAAGCTATACTTGTTTCTACTTACCTCCATTCTTCTGATATTTCACGGCTGTTTATCGAAAATGAAAGTCAATAATTAGTATGCAAATGAAATTTTAATACAGTATACGTACATCATCTTGTACCTAGTATAATATTAGAGGAGTGAGTTTGAACTCAGGCGTTTTGGAGTTTATTTTCAAAATTTATCAATTTATAGTATAGATATTAGTAGTTCTTTGCTCTTGATTTTAGTCATCTGCAAGGAATTTCAAATTCGTTTGAAGAAGACAAAATCATTGGTATTCCAAGGCGCTCGTTATGATAAGCTAATGTTAGGGAGTCAGTCAATCAATCAATAAATCCTTCACTCATTATTGGATTTTTTGACGTACATGAAACATATTATCAAATGAACAAAATTAATATTTCTTCTTAGATATATACGTGTAAATTGTGCTCTAAAAACAGGTCAGACGTAGCCTAAACGTGAAGATCCTTAGTTACATCATCCATGCAACTCATGGCTTACATTACGTTATCTGAAACTGGACTTGCTCCCAAAACTTTAACTTGTTTCATCATTCAGAAAATGTCCAACATCTAGAGAAGGTCATTTAGTTCGCATGCAAGTTTTTGGTCACCATAGTAGACCTTATAGTCATTTGGGAATAGACCTGCTCCGAATACGTTTACTTGGTCAATCATTCAGAAAATGAGGTGAAATTCAGAGTCCGAAGTAAATAAAGTAGGAAGTATCACATGCATCATCAACCATGCAAGTTTTGCCCAGATGGGGCTTAAACATGTAGATACTTGAGAGCGGACTTGCTAGGGACTTGCTCCTTAAACGTTAACCTGGACTTCAACGCCGATCATATGATGCTTCGGGTCTAGCTTAAATCACAGGTGCTTGGGGACGGGACCCCCCCCCCTCCGTGCTCCGTACCCCAAGGGTTCTTTGACTTGTGGCAGACAGTAATCTAAATGAAAATAGCTATTTAGTGTACCCTGTAAGGCCCTAAAAAAGTAAACGCCAAGCAAAATTTCTTGTTTGAATGTCATTCTTTAAAAAAAAAAGGGGGGGGGGCCTAGTGATGTTTGATGGAAAACAATGGGGTATTCTTATGCATATTCTTTTGGCCAGATAGATCTAATTATTTAGATAAGAGAAAGATATATATATATAGAGAGAGAGAAAAATCAATGCCGCAAATAACGGGTTCTTTTATTATTCTTCACAAAATGCATTTACATACCAAATGATCATTCTAATTAAGTAAGGTGCACATTTTTCTTGATTTAAACGCCACGCAAAGGAATACAAAATTCCTTTTCTGAATGTCATTTTAAAAAAAAAGGGCTAGTGATGTTTGATGGGGCACAATGGAGGATTCTTATGCATATTCTTGTGGCTAGATAGATCAGATTAGACCTAATTATTTAGATAAGAGAATGAGATATAGAGAAAGAGTTCAAACTGCACAACAAACGGGTTCTTTTATCATTCTTCAGAAAATGCATTTACACACCAGATGAATGTAAAATATAGATCCCTCTAATTAAATAAGATGCACATTTTTATGCCTCCGTAATCGAAGTTTCGGGGGCAAATAGTTTTTATCTTGTCCGTTTGTCTGTCTGTGTATCTGTCTGTCTGTTTGCCTGCAAAACCTTTAACATTGCCCATAACTTTTGGAGCTATGGCTTTCATATTTCACCTGTGCATTCCTTGTGACAAGACATTTCTTTGGGTACCATCAAATTTAACCTTTTAATCTTGACCTTAGAGTGACCCACTTTTCCTAAATTTTATCAAACTTTAACCTTGGACATAACTTTTGAATAGTTGGTGCTAGGGCTTTCAAACTTCACATGTGTATACCTTGTGACAAGACCTTAATTCTGACACCATTAACTTTGACCGTTTGACCTTGACCTTGGAGTTTGACTTACTTTTGAAAAACGTTAATCTTGGCCATAACTTTTGAACAATTGGTGCTTGGGCTGTCATACTTCACAGATGTATTCTTTGTGACAAGATATTCTTATGGAAACCAATAACTTTGACTTCTGACCTACTTTTGAAAAGCTTTAACCTTGGTCATAACTTTTGAACAGTTGGTGCTAGGGCTTTTATTCTTTACATGCGTATTCCTTGTGACAAGACCTTCCTTTGGATACTGACAATTTTGAACCTTTGACCTTGGCCTTGGAGTTTGACCTACTTTTGAAAAACTTTAATGAAATATGGAGATAACGAACAGTATTCAAGCACAAAGTCCATTAAAACAATACAAATCGAGGGCAGAGCAAACACGGACTTCCAAAAACATCAGAGGTGGGATCGGGTGCCATGGAGGAGTGAGAATCCCCTGCCGACCGGTCATACCCGCCGTGTGCTCCTTGTCATGATCGGGAAATAATGGAAAAATCCGTCGACAATTCAGTGTGTAAGAAATGGCCTAACAATTAGTTTGAAAAAAGTTAGTCAGCATATGGCTCAATGATAGATTTTATTTGCTAACAAGGTCATCGTATCGACCATACAACTTACGTAATGATGACTTTAATTAGAAATTGTTCATACATAGAGCATGCTCTTGCGTATCGAATCAACTGAGAGATATACACTCCATATGCAGGTGATAAGGGTATATTGCTGCACAAGTAAGGGGAGTTGACGATTGAAAAGTTAAAGTCATCACGTTTATCATAAAGCTTTGTTGTCAGATTACCATTAACGTTTTTTTTTTAGTAAAATATCCAAATATGAAACAGATGTGTCAGACTCTGTGGTATCTTTTATTTGAAGCTCACTGGGATATAGATCTGGTCTCCAAAAACGACACAGATTGGTCAATCAGAAACTCAAACATCTTGTTGATATCAACTTCAGAGTACTTGTGTGTACAATCAAAATGCTTTTTGACAATAATTTTGCAAATGACCAATGACAAGGTAGGTAAATTTACGTGTTCCATTTTTATTGAAAAAACAGCTGTCAATGATGTCAAAAAGTCTGGACTATAATTTATTGTGGGGAATGGTTGTATACAGAGTTGAAAAGCCGTGAGTTTTTATGTTATTGGTTTTGGTAAAATTTTGTGATTTCAAATTTCCCATAAGTTCCTTGGAATTTTTAAGTATCCACATCTGATTTACACCACTTCTCGAATATATTTTTGCAAAGTACCACTGAAGTTTCTCATCACTGCTGTTAATATTTTAGTGAGGGGTAATTAAAGAAAGAGGCTTAGTGGAACATTTACTGGAACCCGCTATGTATCTTTGTTAGGATTTTTATGAAGTTTCGGAATCCAATATAAATATGTTAAATCAAATTCATTTTGGTTGTTGGGAATATTAAAAATATTCAAAACGGACATATGATTTTGAAGAATATCCTCCTTAGAAAGGGAAGTATGGGTATAAGTTGGATTGGCACTAGTAGAATTAAATCCCAGTTCTAAAATGCAATCAATAATGAGCCTTACAAATAAAGACAATGTTCTTACCTGTTTTTTTTCAGCTGGGACCAGTACATACTGATCGTGTAGTCTATCTAATTCTTTTTTAACCTCGGAATAATTGAACACGGAAGGATAGATGGTTTTCATATTGCCCCTCAATAGCTTAATGCGAGATTTTAACATACGTACAGTGTATGATACATTTAATCCATTCTGAAATAGTGTCAAGGTCTTTTTTTCATGTCTGGCCCATCGCCTGGCGTAATCTTCCACAGAATTCATAATATTTATGAAATTATGATTCCAGTCGAAAGATCGGGGTGACTAAATTTTGGCCCTTTTAGAATAAGTGATTTAAGGTCCTCATTATTAACTATATTTACGTCACCAGTAATAACTTGTCCAGCAGGACTATAGTTGTAGGGTGAAGAAAAACATGAACACGATGAAGGATTATGTTTCAGATGCTCAATGTCCAGGATCTGTGGTTTTCATGTAATTAAAAAGTTTGGAAGTAACAGTCGATGTATCTTTGTAAGAAATACAGGGTGTAGCCTTCAGTTGGAAATATGGTGGAGTTCAAGACTGGACCCTTTTGTGATTAAGAATATTACTTACATCAACCACGTCAATTCCTTTGTTTGAATATTGAAGTTTAAGGGAAAAAACGTGTAATTTTAGCTGTATTTTCTTCCGTAAAACGTGGCGATTTAAAAAAGCCTATGATTTGCAATATCCACCAAAGATACGAGCCTGTATTCTGGTGTCGAGGAATCCAAATAGGGACTTTCATTGACAAATAGACTATTCAACACTTTTTTGATGAAAATTGAAGTTACTTTTGTGAAGAATATAAAATTTTGGTTTAGTATTAATCTGGACCATAAAAAATGTACAGAAAAGAACATTTTCAGTTATGAAAATTGCAAATTTGAAAATTATTTGATTAATTAATTTCTTATCAAATACTGAAAAAAGTAAACAATTAGATCACTTGTAGTAAATTAAAAGGCACGTTTACTCTATGAATAATTTTGATAAAATTTAAAGTTGTCGTCAATTAACTACTTATGAAAATAGTTTTTTTTTAACACTTTAAGTTTTAACATTCATCATTAATATTACTCAGGGGTTGGTGTTAAAATAGACCTTAGGAATGATATTAATATGACTCTTAAAATGTAATAAAATATCAAATATTTACCTTCAAAATCATCGTCAGACGTTTTTCTGTACATCCATTGATATCGATTTTCCCGTAAATTTATCGCCACGACTAAAATGAAATAAAGCCAAATTACTTTAAATCTTCCAGCTTTTCTTACTTCTTAATATTTGAAACACGAATATTACCTGCAAAGTCATGGTAGAAAAGAAACACCGAGAAAATTAGCCAAACTGTCTTACTTCTGGACTTCATTGAAATACTTGTTCTAAAAATATAAAACATTGTAAATCGTTTCTAAATTATAAGTTTCTAATTATAAGTTTCTGATTATAAAATAATCAGAAACTATTATCAGCATGAGATATCAATTTTTATGCATATATAAAATTCATGAGAGCTCGGAAGTACATTGTCTTTTTAAAAGACTTACATCAAATGTGTAAATGAAAGTGTCTATCAAAGAATACACGATAATTGAACTGGTTCCTTTGTAACAAGATTTACAGAGTTATGCCGCTTGTCATGTGAACTGTATTAGTGTCCTTGTAATTGTGACGTCATGTAGTGTGTATTAAAGATGGCAACTGTGCACAAGTGTTGTTGAGAATCTTACATGGTGTCAGAAGAAAAATGGACCGGTTAAACCCTCCAGCCGCACTCAACTTAAACGGAAACTTAAAGGAGAACTGGAGGCGATTTAAGCAGCAATTCGACATATATAATATAGCGTCCGGAACGGCGAAGAAAGATGATAAAGTGCAGGCTATGACCTTACTCCACGTGGTTGGCGCTGAAGCCATTGAGGTTTATAATACGTTTACCTGGGATGACAAAGATAAAGAAAAAGTCGCGGACATTTGTGAGAAATTCGAGGCTTATTGCAACCCGAGGAAGAACATTACATATGAAAGGCACATGTTCAACACCAGGGTACAGAAAGAAGGTGAGCGCATAGATGCATATGTTACTGATCTAAAACAAAGAGCTGCGAGTTGCGAGTTTGAAAATTTACAAGATTCTCTTATCAGAGATCGGATCGTATGCGGGATCAAGAGTGACTCTGTAAGAAAGAGACTGTTGAGAGAAGAAAACCTTACATTACAGAGGGCTATAGACATTTGTCGTGCTAATGAAGCCAGTGAATCACAGATTAAAAATATCGCAGATGAGAAAGCTATAAATCACGTGGTCGCGCAAGGAGCATATGGCGGGTTCAGGCGTGTCAGAGGAAATTCGCGTCATAATAACAACAAACCGACACGTGATAGAGACAAAAGCAAACCACGGCAAGGAAAATGTAAGCGCTGTGGAACTTCTCATGCTCGAGGAAACTGTCCAGCGTACGGTAAGGAGTGCAGAAAATGTGGGAAAATGAATCATTTTGAAAAAATGTGTAAAAGTCGGAGAGACCGTGTACACATGCTCCAGCATGAGTCCGATTCGGATGCAGATAGAGATTCACTGTCAGATGACGAATTCCTAGCATACGGAATCGAGACCACGGACAAGGATAGGGAACAGGACTGGATGGTTCGAGTGAAAATCAATGACATTTCCGTTGACTTCAAGATAGATACAGGGGCACAGTGTAATGTGATCACGGAGAAACTTTGCAAAGAAGCAGGAATCAGGAATATTAGCAAATCGAAGTCGCGATTAATCTCATACTCCAAGGATGAAGTCAAAACTATTGGCAAGACTCGCGTTGTGTTAGAATACAAACAGAAGTATTATGATGCTGTAGTTCATGTTGTGGATCATGATGTTGTACCTGTACTTGGCTTACAAACTTGTCTGGATTTGAAGCTTGTCCAACGTGTAAATCTGGTCGATGAAAATCAAAGTACTGCGAGTACTGACAGTGTCATCAAGGAATACCAACACTTATTTTCTGGAATCGGATGTTTGCCAGGAGAATATGACATTAAAGTGAATCCAAATGTTACACCTAAAGTGCACCCTCCACGAAGAGTTGCACACGCTTTAAAACCGAAAGTCAAGGAAGAGTTAGACAGGATGGTTAGTGAGAAAGTCATCACAAAAGTAGAAAAACCAACAGCATGGGTTAATCCAATCGTCATTGTAGAAAAACCCAATGGAAAAGTAAGAATTTGTTTGGACCCAAGGGACTTGAATCGCGGAATTCAACGGGAACATTATCCGCTGAAAACAGTTGAGGAGGTAGCCGCAACGCTAAAAGATGCAAAAGTTTTCAGTACTCTTGATGCTGCCTCAGGATTTTACCAAATCAAGTTGTCAGAGAGGAGCACTTGGGTGACAACATTTAATACTCCTTACGGGCGATACAAGTTTGAACGTCTACCCTTCGGAATTTCTAGTGCGCCGGAAATTTTTCAGAGAACAATATCGCAAATTTTTTCAGACATTGATGGGTGTAGTACTATAGCTGATGACATTTTGATTTATGGACGGAATCAAGAAGAACATGATCAGAGACTCTCAGCTGTCTTAGCAAGAGCACAAGAAGTTAACTTGAGGTTCAACAGACAAAAATGTAAACTCAGTCAGTCAGAAGTCAAATTCGTAGGTCATGTGTTTGGACCAGATGGATTGAAGCCTTGTCAAAGTAAAGTTCAAGCGATAATTGAGATGAAGAGTCCGGAAAACAAGAAAGACCTACAAAGATTCCTGGGAATGATTAACTATTTAGGAAAATTCATACCCAATATGTCAACAGTGAACAGACCGTTGCGTCAACTTCTAGAAAAGAATGTTGAATGGCATTGGACACAGACACACCAACAAGCATTGGAGGAGTTGAAATGTGCAATTACAAGTGCACCTGTTCTCAAATACTATGACGTGTCAGCACCAGTAAAAATTTCAGCAGATGCTTCTTCTGTAGGACTGGGAGCATGTCTTCTACAAGGAAATCAACCGATAGCTTATGCGTCGAGATCCTTAAATTCAGCTGAACAGAACTATGCTCAAATTGAAAAAGAGCTACTCGCTATTGTGTTTGGACTCATTAAATTTCATGATTACGTGTATGGGAAAGTAGTGGACATAGAAACGGACCACAAACCACTGGAAAGTCTTTACAAAAAGCCATTATCCAATGCACCACCGAGATTGCAGAGAATGATGTTAAGAATCCAGAAATATGACTTGAGAGTAAAGTACTCACCGGGAGAAACACTTCACATTGCCGATACTCTTAGTCGCGCAGCATTAAGAAACGATGAATCAGAAGATGACTTTGAGGTTCATATACTCGAGAACAAACCGATAACATGTGAAAATGTGGAACGATTCCAGGCTGAAACTGCAAAGGACGAAATACTAGGGAAACTGATGAAAACCGTGATTAATGGTTGGCCAGAATCCAAACAGAAAATTGATCCGGAGTTAAATCTGTATTGGAACTTCAGAGATGAGATCAACATATCTGACGGACTTGTGTTCAAGGGAGATAGAATCATTACTCCTTTATCTATGCGTCATGAAATGCTGAAAAGAATTCATCTGAGCCACATGGGAATTGAAAAAAGCTTAAGCAGAGCACGAGAATTACTTTACTGGCCTGGGATGAGTCAACAAATTAAAGACCTTGTAGAACAGTGTGAAATTTGCAATAAACACAGAAATAAACAGCAGAAACAACCACTCTTACAACATGAAGTGCCAAACCGACCATGGCAAAAAGTTGCCACTGATCTCTTCTACTTGAATGGAGACTCTTACCTAGTACTTGTTGACTACTTCTCTAAGTTCTTTGAACTGTCAATGTTACAGGATACCAAAAGTCTGACAGTTATCAAATGTCTCCGTCAAAACTTTGCTAGATATGGAATTCCAGAAAAACTCGTTAGCGACAACGGACCAGAGTATTCAAGCTACGAATTTCAAGCTTTTGCTAGAGACTTCGGTTTCAAGCACATCACATCATCTCCAAGGTACCCTCAGAGCAATGGACTAGCAGAGAGGACCGTTCAGACAGCCAAAAAACTTCTGAAAAAGGCCATTGAAGACCATCAAGATCCGTATTTATCTCTTTTAGAGCTTCGCAATACACCACTTCCTGGTGTGGGACTTTCACCTGTGCTACTTCTGATGGGTCGCAGAACCAGATCTTTCGTTCCAGCCAAATCGTCACTCTACACACCCAACAACTTCCCTGGGAAATCCGTCAGGAAAAATCTACAATTTAAACAGCAGAAGCAAAAACACTACTATGATAGAAATACCAAAGAAAGAACACCATTATCAGAAGGAGACGTAATTAGAATTCGTTCACATCAATCATCATCAACTTCATGGAATCCAGGACAAGTCGTCAAACAATGCGAGGAACCAAGATCCTACATAGTAAAATCAGGAAACCGCATATTCAGGAGAAATCACAAGGATTTAGTGAAAACCAAGGAAAGGAGTGTTCCAGAAAATTCTAGGGAGGAAGAAGACGACGTAGTGATCATTCCACCAATGCAGGCAGATTCAACGCATACAGATTCGAGGAGTGTTATAGGTAGTAAAGAGTCGTGTCAGCCAGTAAAGGCAGTGAAAAGTGAAAGTGTCAAAATATGTGAAAATAATGAAAATGTGAAAATTTCAAATCCCAAAGTCCGATTCACAAGGTCGGGAAGAGCGTCAGTGTTACCGGCAAGATACCAAACTTAACGCTTGTAATAATTTCAGTGTTGTGTTTGTCTACAAGTATGGACGTTACCAAACTCTTTTTCTGTTTAAAGTTAATTCATGTGTCCAGTGATGTTTTGAAATGCGGCGGATTTGTTTAAGAAATGTTTTATTGTTATCATGTTATGAGTAATTGAAATACACAGAACTCTAAATTCGGACATTTCAAATTTACAGTATATTTATTTAGCAATAGGATTCTAGGATTTGTAAAACTGTAAACGCACAAATATCTTAAAAAGGGAGATGTAACAAGATTTACAGAGTTATGCCGCTTGTCATGTGAACTGTATTAGTGTCCTTGTAATTGTGACGTCATGTAGTGTGTATTAAAGATGGCAACTGTGCACAAGTGTTGTTGAGAATCTTACACCTTAAGCATAATGTTAGTAGCATTAAGAAAATCGCTATCGTAGAACTTTACCTCTGGGATCCCTGGCGTTTGTTGTGGTACAGGCTGTGGACTACATTGATTATTGTATTATTACAGACTGACAGTAGGCGGTCCTGCTACTTGATATGTAAGTTTTAAAGGCCTTTGCCTTTCTTTGCAGCTGTATCTCTTTTCAAATGAACTAGTCCTTTATGCAATTAAATGTGGTTTGTATTGG